TATTCATTTCCAGTAAGTTTTAATAAATAAACGAAGAAAAAAAACTAAAAAATAATATAATGTGTTTAGTTATATTTATATCAGCAACATTGGGTGTGATGTCTGTTCAAGGTCGTAGTAATTACTCAGGTTTTCTTGATTGGGCATGGTGGAATGGTCTTGTTGGTCTTATTATGACAATAGTTTGTTTTTTTTCATTATTTGCTCTCATTCTTGATATGAAATTATCTCCATCAAATAGAGAAACATTGTAAATGAAAAAGTTATTTGAAATGAAATCTGAAATATTTAATTAAATATTAAAATACTTATTTTATTTAAGGAATTCAAAAAAACAAAAGTCAGTCGATGCTCCATCTCTACATGCAGCGTCAATTGGTGTTCCGTTATCACCGGTTAATTCACCATTGTTTTATTCTCAAGCACAAATCCCAACAGATGTTTTATCAAGTCTACCAATGCATTATCCATATGATCAAGGATATTTAAATCAACATTCCCCAACTGATTACTTTAATTCACCACAATATAATTCTAATAATTATTTTCCATACGATTCAATGCAATATGGAGGTCAATATCCATTTGGATCATATGATTATAATCAAACTCTACCACCCATGATATCATCAGGAGCTCTAGATTATGCTTTACGTGCTTCCGATGCTCAATTTCAACAAGATCTTATTCAGCCATATTATACAAATACTTATCTTTAGAGGAAAAAACACAACACTTATTTATTCAACATATATATTTATTTATTTATTTATTTATCTGTATTTATTTGACTTTCGATACCATATATTATATATAAACATAGGATAAAGAGAGAAAGAGAAAAAAGTATTGAATCATTGATTAGTAATAACTATGATGAAGAAATATATTTCGAAATTACAGCAGTGGCTCTATTCTAAAATTCTAGAATTTGAGGATGGTGAAATTTCAGTATGAGAAAGATATTCGAATCAATAGAAATTTCAAGAAACGGAAGTAATGAAAATTTCAAAACCTATGAAGAGCATGAACAATACGAATTGCTAGACATATCAAATGATTCGCTAATAGAACCAGTGAGAGTACATCAATTATTTAAGTTTGGGATTGTGACTTGGGTCGAAAACGCGTGATACCGACAATAGATAGACAATGAATATTGGAACTGCTACAGCTAATATAATGTACAAGTCTCGGTAATAATAAAATGTGTTATCGTAATGATTTGTTTGATGGTGAATACACTGTAAATGAAAATACAAATGATTGCGTTCGTGGTGTGGTTTAGGTGATCTCTAAGTATGGTAGATACAAATTTCAATTAGAAGATACACTACGACGATTGATTCTGATGCAAAAACATATATAGTATCTGAATGGTTATCAAACAAACAGTTATTATATGTGAAACAGGAATAGTGAGCAATGATTCTTTTATGGAAATGTTGATTGCTAGATCGAGTATTTCAGCTGGAAAACATGATACCATAGACATCTGAAACCTAAGAGACGTCTATGAATAGGTGTTTCAGAGGTAACATGTTAAAGTTGATGATGGTTGCATTACATAGCTGTGTTTTTCAGTTGATTGTTAATATTTTCTCGATCAGTATGAAAGATCTCTTGGGATCGTCGAGTCACTGTGCTACAATAGGTAATTGAAAACACTTCAAAAGACGATGAATGCTGAGTATTGGTTTCTGATGCAGAAATCAATATGTCATCGAAATATGATGTGCCTTCGAAGTTCGAAAAGAAACACCTGTCTAATCATAGTTTCCTAGGTGAAAGATTAAAAATTCAGTAAGACACACTGAATGACACAAATGAATTACAAAGTAATTCAAAAAATATTAATTACAAAATAATTCAAAATTTTTAAACCATGGTCTATCCGAGTCTCCACGTTCAACTAGTGTTTGGACTGATTGGCGGCAAAAAGACTCACATCATATTTCTCTCGGTGTGGGTGCTATAAGACTATTCAAGCAACGTCTCTCATAGTGAACGCCAAGAAATTCAAATAGACCCAGGAGACTCTAGTAGATCATGTGAATGATACGTTTTGAATGATTTGGTAATTCACTTCTGTCCTACTATCGTATGCTTTGCCCAAATAAAAAGAACATCAATGCATAGTGATATGCACACTCTTAGCCTACGTTCACAGTCACCCTCCCTCCAATCCAAACCCGTCCATATCTGCACCCGTACTCACACTCATACCCACACCTATGCTCACATCCACATCCACACTCATTGTAGACTATCAGTTCCTATAGAAAAGATTTGAGGAGAGCTCTTAATTATTCAACATTTTTTATCTCAAACGACTAAAAATGTTAAAATTTCGATTATAATTATTTTTCTTGCATCCAAGAAAAAACAGATGTTTGTCTTATTTTGCTTTTACAAGTGAATGCATCCTAATATGATAAAATTTGCAAAATACTTATATCAAAAATAATATTTGCAAAAGCAGTTGTGCAAGTTTTTTTTGCAAACACCTGTATTTGGGAAGTTGGCATCTTTCTATTTCATTTCAATTTCTACCAGTTAATCGAATTGCTGCTCAACTATTTATTCCAAATTCAAAAATATTATCAAAATTATGCTCTTTATTCTGTGGCAACCATGGTCGATGTGTACAATATATGAATAGAAACTTCTCATACTTTTGTCAATGTGATGAAGGATATTCGGGTCCACAATGTAACATTCAACACAATTGTTCTTGTTCATTAGATTCATATTGTCTTAGATCGTCGATTTGTGTTTGTCCACTACATAAGTTCGGTTCGAGATGTTACTTAAATAATTCAATTTGTCGAATCCCCCCAAATCCTTGTCAAAATAATGAAATCTGCATACCTCATGATGATCGTATAAGTTTGAATAGTTTTACATGTTTGTGTACAAAAAATTTCTTCGGAACGAGAAGTGAGAATTTCAAAAATCGAATTAATTTTGCATTGAATGATGAAAATATTGATATGATGTCAATTATTTGGGTGCATTTTATTACTTCAATGGAAAATAGCGGTCATCAGCGAAACACATTATTAAAAAAAGATTAAATTTGCACAAAATACAATCAGCATTTTTACGATTGATCCATTTCATGCTATTTTCATTGAATTAATTAATCAAACCTATTATTTAGTTATATTAAGAGAGAAATTTATCGAATCAGAACATATTTAAACAAAAATATTATCGAATTATTGATGTTCATCTATAAATGAATTAATGAATAATACGTTTTCAAATTATTCTTTACTTCATTGTGTTAAATATTATCCTCATTTATGTCAACGAGAAGAGCAATTGAAGTGTTTCTATGATAAAACATACATGTGCATATGTGATGTTAATCGATTTTCCAATTGTTTTACATTCAATCAAACCATATGACATGATTGTCAAGGAGAAAATATACACAAAAATAATGGCCTATGCTTTCAAGATGTTCTTAAATGTCTTCTTTTAACGATTTGTGTATGTTCAGCATGCTATTATGGTACAAAATACCAGTCTTCTACAAAAGGTTTTGCATTATCTCTTGATTATATTCTTGGTTATAATATTAAGCCAAATGCTTTCATTCATCGACAACCATTCATTATTAAAATAAGTATTTGTATTCTTTCTGAAAAATTCTGAGAAAATTGTAGAAAGTTTCAAAGAAAAAACCTCGAAGACCTTTACAATGATTTCTTAGAAACCTTTGTGACTGGTCGAATAAGAAACAGACATATTGGAAGACTGGCAGTGATTCCAATTCTCATTCTTAACCCTTCATTTGGGATATCCTTTCATATGTTGTAAACTATGATGCAAAGAAATATAATGTTGCTTTAGAGCGGAACTGTGAATAGATCAAGTTGAAGTACGAAGCTGTTTAATCGAGAATAAAAGTTATCACCGAGTAGAGAAATTTGATTAAGGCTTTTTCTTCTCTCAAAAATCTCTGTGAGTCCAGCTAAGTCGAAACGGATTGAGATTTGTAGAGTATATTAGTGCCAAAGTGTGGTGGTGGACGTGGGTGTACATGATAAGAACACCCACACCCACATCCTCCATACATTAAGTAATAAAATCAATACGAATTCATTAGTTTTTATTGAAATTCAATCAATAAAAATTGGAGCCGAGCGAAATTATATATGAGAGTATAAGTTCCTGGTAACACTTTTGATGATAAACAGATTAGAAGATATAAGAATTTAATCTCAGTTTTTCCTCAACATTTTCGATGGACTCTCATCTAATCTTTCTTGCAATTCTTTTCATATACGAAAAGTAATTAGTGTGTAATGTAAGGTAAGGCTAATATTTTCAATTAAAATACTTTGTAAACAACGCTTGTAGAATAAATCACAGAGTATTTTTTAAAAAGAATTCCAACTGACTCTCATAGAGAAAAAATAAAATCTATGATAGTTAATCCTCTTCTAGAGATTTCTTTCGACAGTAAATGAATTTTTAACATAAAAAACTAATTCTATAAATTAACCTTTGATCTGCATCGTGATTGATTCGGACACATAAGGGTAGCAACATTTTCCAAATATAAGACCTCATCTTCGAGGAAAAAAGAACTATAATATTTCGATTTATCTACAGGAAATGCAGTATGTTTAAAACATTATTAATAAGACTAGATCATTATCCATGAAATATCCATAACTATCTAGAGTAGATATTATTAATATTTTATAAAAGATTTATTATGATAAAAATGATCACTAAAAGTTAGTAAGAATACGGTCAGAAAGGAGAATAAACGTCTGATATACTATAAAACATATCGGTTAATAATATATGATAAATAAAAAAAAGGCACTATAAAATATTCTTTGCTATTGAAAAATGTTCCGATTTTAATATATTTGCTCGTTTCCAAGTTTTTTTTTAACGAAAAAACCCAAAGTTCTTTCTTCCGATTTGAACAGATGTAATAAGAATTGAGGTATTGTTCTGATTTTCAAGAATAAATATTAGTAAAGACTTTCATGTATTACTTTATGCGATTGATATTGTAATAATGCATCCTGAAGAGCATCATAACGTTGATTTAGACCATCAGCAATCGAAAATATTAATATTTGTTTATGTGTTTCATCTAATGCAATAAGATTTTTGAATCGATCTGAATAATGATGCCATTGAGCAAAACCACGAATTAGTAGTCGTAGATATTGCATATAAATTGAGACATGATGTTGTAAAGAAGGAGATTTCAAAGATTGCAATATCTTTTGGATATTTTGGTCAAATGTTTTCATAGCTAAATCATGTAAAGTTAAGGTAAAATAAATACTTTGTTGCAATGAACAATTAAACATGTGCCGATAAATTAATGAAAAATTTGGTTCTCCTCTTAAATCTCTTCCCATTCCAACTAATTCATTGACTAATGAAGGCATGATGGCTGCTATATTTATAGCAGGGCGTAATAATGGATCGATTGATGATAAATTGAGACCACATGATTGTTCTAACAAGAGTGACATCATCGGTATTCCAATAGTAGCTATTCTCTGTCGTAAGAGAACTTCTAAGAGAGACATACCACTCATATCAACAGTCACAGTCTTTTCCTTTGTTCCTTGACGAAGAGATGGATGATCATATGAAGTGAGAGTAACAGGAATTTGTGTTCGTAATTCTGTCAAAGACGATGATTGTTTCATACGTCGTTTTCCTATTACTTCTCTAATACCTAATTCAATCCATTCTTTGATTGCATTGGACATTCTATTACACCATGTTTCATCTGCACCAAATCTTACATAATTATCAGCAATTGAAGACCAAACTTGAAAACATGGGTCTAATACAGAAATATTCGTTTTTAATGCAAGTTCATGAATTCTTCTTGCTAAATTTTTGCTATTCATCTGCTGACCATTTTGTCGTTGAAATGCTAGTTTCCATGTTTCAGCAAATATAAACAAATGTTCTAATGTTATTCGTTTTTGTTCTAAAGCTTCTATTTCAACTAATTGATCATCAATTAAAGCAAACATAGACAAAAATTTTCCCATTAAATCAACATAGTTATATGCTGCATAAGGTACTAGAAATGCAGACCATTCTGCTGGTTCTAGCTGCCATAATCGTTGTTTCGTCGGTGGTGATAAGAATTTACCAAATATTGATGTATACCAATCTTTTATTTCATGCTCACTCTGTTTATTTGAAAGAATATGATAAGGTGAACGAGTGAATGATGGAGGAGGACACCACTTATCAGGGTAAACGATAGAAGTACTAATCAAACTGTATACATTAGTGTTAAATTTAGCTTTTCCTATTTTTTGTATTTGCACCGGCGAATTAGTCAATAAATCTTTGGCTCCCTCATATTGTTCTATCGTACTAATAATTTCACTCGCAGGTACATTTTCAAGGTGCTTCGATGGTGATTCAGTCTGATCGATAGGATTCTTGATACATTGTTCATGTGCTGTAGATAATAGGTCAGCCAGAATACTACAATACAAAAAAGTTTGCACGAATATTCTCTAGGACCTCAACATTATACGAGAGAAATGTTGCGTATGCAGTAATAAAGGACACAGGAAAGTGAATACATATTCTCAGCATCTTAGTAGAAGAATATAATGAATTTGATGAAAGAAGCTGTTAGAAACGCTCGTGAATAGGAGGAGTTGAGTTGTTCAAGCGGTTCCTTTTCAGAGAACTGAACTGATCAAACAGTCTTCTTTCAGGAATCGCTTGACATTAGGTCAAACATGCTACTCAGGACTCTTTGGAATCTACTTCAACATTGCACCTACAACTTTTCAAGATTATCTTAGGATGATCATCATAACTTCCTAAAGACTAAGGTGTGTGAGATGTGAGAGCAAAGACAACTCATATTCACACACATGCACATCCACACCTCGATTAATATTAACTAAAGTTCCCATACAATTTTAATTCACTAAATATACTATATACTGCTGTAAAATCAATACTATTAATCTCTAAGAAGTTAATTACTGACCTTAAGTACCGACTTAAGGAGAATAGTACATGCAATATATCTTATAAAGGCAAGTCAGCGTGAAAAATACTGATAATACTTACGATTTATGCCGACACTGATTCCTCTCTTTTGAATAATTAATGTATGGTGCAATAGTGGTAATTGTTTTAATGGTAGATTTACAACTTCTATGCATCTTTTTCCTTATTACGATCTTCTACAAATAAAAGTCTGCAATAAATTTACACGAAAGAATAAGAAAAAAAAAGAAGAATACTATAAGTAAAAAAGGCCGTCAAAACATGAAGTGTATTATAAATAAGGTTATCTCTAGGTAATATATCAGGATTGACAGTGTCATTTTTGAGAACTAGCTGTTGGTGCTTCTATAAACCTTTTGTGAAATGTTGACGTGCGTATATGGAAGTAATTAGTCTGGTCGAATACCCGAAGTCTTTTCCTACCAGTCTAGTTTCTATCGTATGTCAGACAAAATATGATTCTCTTACCAGTTGTAATGCTTTCAAAATGCAAATAATCTGCTAAAGATAAGAGGCCTATATCTTGTCGAAAATCAAGTTAACCATATGTCTTCCAAAAATTGTTTGGTATTTATGAACAAGCAAGATTTCGGTTTGTCATATCCCTATCCTTGTTGAAATTTCATGAAATCTGCAGTCTTATTAATATCGTCTGGAATTTTACGAAGATTCATTAAATCGTTTTAAATTCTTTGTATCTGCTAAAGTACCTTAAAATCTTTTGTAAACTCACGAAATCTAAATGATCGCACCTTCATTTTCAAGAATAACTGTCTTTGAATATCTTGCGAAATCATCTCCAGAAAGCTGAGCAGGCTCACACTTACGTAAAGTTACATATGTCGCGTTTAGATATTTCTATAATGTTCCAAAGACTATTTCAAGATAATCCTTAAAAATCTACAGATACTTCCTAACAAGTTAGAAATACTGTTCAAATTTATGGTTCTTTTATTTCAAACGAAATCTTATTGACAAAGAACACATCGTGCTTTCGCCAAGCGCCAGCATCTAGGAAAGCAAGAAAAAGGCTCACGTTACATTATCCGATGAGAAAAATTGTTCCTCGAGCTCTAAAACCATACTTATTGTATATACCTCTATTTTTCAGCAATGAGAAATCATTAAGAAGCACTCGATATATGAATAAGACAATATCAGTATTCATCGTACATTGCATATGCTACCGAGTAATTCGAGAGACTTCTCGTTGCTAAAAAATATAGGCTTGTGCAAAGATTATCTTCATTGAATCCTAAAATTCTTAAGAACTCCCGATCGAATTGAAATAGGGTATAGTATGTGCTATCCGCAGATAGTCCTTGGAAAATTTCAGGTATTACCGTCTCTCAGCGACCATATCTACCGTTGCAATTGCCTCTACTATTTTCACTTCTTTATCTATTTTCTAATTCGTCACCGATATGTAATAATTATGGACAAGAACAAAATATAGAAAGAAAATAAGACACTCAGATACAGATCTAAGGTGAAAAGAAATTGATTCATCAATCTCAATGCTGAACTCTAATCGAAACTCGAACCCCAACTCATTACACTAAATTCACGAAAATCAGATCGTTTCGATCAGGTGCATATCTGCTTCTAACCTTAACATATATTCGATATTTCATAGTGTGATGAGATGAATGGCTATATTATGTGTTCTGTTGACAGTTTTTCCAATCTCAATCATGGCTTCTTTAAGGCGCTCGTCATTGTTGAACACATATAGACAAAGCAAATGCTCCGATGTTTGATTTGTTGACCAAGTGGAGTGAAGGGAGCTGACCAAATGTTAGAAAGGAGACTACTCGATCTCTATAAATCGATCGGAGCAACCGAATATCTTGAAATGTTCTACCTATATTTAGTTCAAATAATATCAGAAATGAACAACGACATGCTCCCATTTTTTTTTTCATATAGACCTTTACATTTAGTGCTTGAAGAAATTATTTGAATGAGTTATATCAAATGCAAATATGCTGAATGCTATTTGAACTGCTTGACAGCTCTCTCTGTCACCGATTCTACTAGTGTTCAAACTATACAAGACAAAAGAATTTATTCACTTCGTATCATCATCATTTTGCAAAGAAAATTATTGTATCAACAACAAAAATATAGAGGACAACCCTGTTGTGTTGTTTTACCTGTGCTCCAGTTCTGAGCGGGAAATTCATGTGTAATATGCCTGTATCAAACATAGAGGACCTGGTTTAAATTACGGATGGTGATTTGTGCAACAGGACTTCAAAGATTAGTAGTTTCTCTTAGTGTTTCCAATCGATTTCGAAGACTCTGATTTTCTTACCCATACGCAAGTAGGAAAACATCACCTTTAGAGTCATACTTTCTCTCAACACAACAAGCTCGGATATGAAAAGATATTTCTTGAATACCATAGGCTCAAAACAAATAATTTAGTGGTTGTTAACTTTAAATAATGTTCAAGGACGGTAGAAATCGAAGAAGATTGTGTAAAGTTATTAGCTATGAGTATAGTTAGAGTAATCCAAAAGCAGTGGTAGATATACCTCAATGTCACATAAAAAACTTCAACGTTCTGATAATACAGAAGTTCCTAACTAGTTTTTGAAAGATTATGGTCAGTCTCTTCAAAATCAAATCACTAATTAAAGATGTACAAAAAATGATAAATATCAGAGGCTAAAATCTAATCATGTAACAGTTCTAGATATTTTAGTCGAAAGTTCAAGTTGTTTTTCTAAGAATTGTGAAACAATTAAATTGAATAAAAAGTTGGAGAAATTACATTAGGAAAAGATATAACATACGATTTAATACATATTCATTTCTTCTTTTCAACTTCAGAAATTGTACTTCTGTATTTTACATCTGTCATAAGTTATTCAAAAAATATTCATTTGTGTTTTCAAACGAGCATTAGTAGAATCGTCAAATGCTATAAGAAATATTTCTTTGTCAAGGTTTTATTACCATGACATTAGTTAAAGTATGATGAAACATCGTCGAAAAATAGAGGATTTTTTTTCTATCAATAGATATAAAGAGAATGTTAAAGCTTTCTATGTGAAATTGAGGCACTTCTGCCACTACTTCTGAATTTCCCTAAGTAAACAAAACTAAAAAAAACTAATTAGAACATGCGAAATGAACATATTCATTATTAAGTTACTGCAACGATCATTGATGTATAGAATATGTTTCTCTTACCTAAAACAAACAATTACATGAAAGAACACGTGGCAAATCTTATTTACCCTTGTGCACAGAACAGAACGAACGTCACTTTTAGTTAGTGTATTGGTAAGTATGCTATCGAAATAAAGTGGTTTCGTTCGTCCTATCACTTCCAGATGTATTTCTCGCCATCGACATCTATAAAAAAAAATCATGAGTAATGAATAAATTGAAAAGCTTCTAATTTATTTTATATAAGATATAGATAAGAAAAAAGTCAAAGATAATCTTTTCTGAGATAAAAATACTTTTCGTTAACATGCATCAATAAGAAGGTTATTTTCCTAGTAATGAAGATAATTAGAGTACTAACAGTAAATAATATTCCGACACATATCTTCAGACGTTCATATATCTATTCTCAGTTTGCTGTACTTTGTCACAACAAATGACACTTATTCAGATTTTTTGCTGTATAATGGGATATTTTTTTTTCTATGTCAAGTGAATGATTCTTCTTTTTGTAATTTTAAACAAAAATAAATTTGAAAACTTAAAAACAACAGTGAAACCGAATCATGAAAATGAAAAAAAAAATAACAAATCACAAAAAACTGAACAATATACAGTGCACATCAACTAATTTTTTCCCTATGTATTTCTTATTCTATACAAGTTTAGTTCACTCTGTTTTCAACAATCAATGCACTGGGAAAGCGTAGATTTCAGTTTATCGTATGAGTTATTGATTATAGTTAAAAAAAGATATTTAGGTGTAACTACACATTTCCATAAGTGGTGAGCCAAAAAAACCATAAGATTTCCAGCGAATGATTTCGCGAGGTGTGGGTATGGGTAAGTGTGAGAATAACAAAAGAACTACACCCACACTCTTAACTGTTTTTTCATATTTCTACATATAAATCTCATATGAATTTCTCAATTCACGTAAGACTCAAGTTAACTTAGCTGTATTCAATATAAGACAAAATAAAACAAGAAATCTTATAAAATGATTTAATACTGATACACACCCTAAAAAAGCAATTGAAATTTTCTGATTACCTTCAGATGCTATGTTAATCAACATGAAGGTTTTCTAAGTAAATTTAGTTTTTTTTCTCACTGATGACGAAGATTTTACTTTCGTTCATTACTCATGGTAACTATCAATTTAGAGAAGTAGGCAAACAAAAAAAAAATACGTGTGATTATTCACATTACAGATATTAATATAAATAAAATGTAAGAAAGTTTGTTGATTGTTTATTTATCTCAACTGAAAACTATACTTTCCTATGATTAATAGAAATAAAATCTAAAGACAAATGAAAAAGATCATTTTGAAATGTCTCAAATAAGTTTTTTTCTAAATGGAAAAAAAAACTAATGAATTGAGTTATTTTCTCATTATATTTAGTTCTGTTCGATAAATCAAAATACGAAGGATATTTTCTGATCATTCATAATAAAAGATGTACATCAAATATTTTGAAATACTCATTCTATGAAATGATTCATCCTGTTTGTAGGAATGATGCATTTTATTCTGTCCATTGAAAACAAAAAAAAAATCATTAAGATCAAAACATGATATTTCAGGGTGTGGGTGTGAGTACGGGTGTTGCTCTTTCCATCTATTACATCTAAATCCATACCCACACCGAAATGTTCTCTTATTCGATTCTGAACATAAAGAGATCATTTTTTCATCTCATATTACCGAATGAACAGCAGTTGAAGTTGTTTTTACGATTATAATTACTAAAATTTTATCAACATTTGGCGAATGCATACTGTAGTTCTAAGAAATTGCCTGAAAAAAAATCGGTGAAACATGTATATGAGAAGAGATTCATAGTGTTTGAGCAAAAGAATCGTCTATCAAGAATAGGAGTCGTCAAATGAATATTCAAGTTCCAATAATCGGATACTGAAATTTTGTAATAGGATCCAACAGTAGGATAGGTGTAGTTGTTGACTTGAATACATTTCTTATTTCCATTCTCATTCTCACTCTCACACCTCACCATCATCCTCAATATAGTTGGATATTTCGTTTTCACCATAGTTATTTGTTAGGAAGTAAATCGATCATTTGTGTATAGACTCCTTTTTCTTTTGCATTTTCATTACAGTGAGTCCATGAGAATAACAATTTATTCTTTTATAGTCGAAGAATATTTCTTTTGCCAAAGATTCATGCTTACTTTTCGACAGTGTTTACACATCATAGAACGACTAAAAATAAACTCGATCTCCTAACGATGTTTTCATGGTTTGTTAATAACATCAATGAAATCCTAAAAAATAAAAAATAATATGAAATGTTCTAAAGATCATTCTACAAAAGAAATAGATGATTGCTAACATTGAAACAACAGATCAAACAACAAACACAATAAGAGTATGCGCTTCAGAAAGGCAAACATTAAATTCGAATGAGAAGAAATTGAAGAAAAAATCGTAACTCTTGTTGTTCTATGTATATAAAGGCAAAATCATTCATTTGCACAATTCATGTCGGACACTAAACGTTGATCTTTTTTCTCTGACACTACTTGATCGTTATCGAACTTCATCGTTGGCATCATGGCACAGACAAATAAATCTATTAGTAAGATGAATACTGCTGCTTCTCCGAATAACTTACTTCTTAGAACAAATGATGATGAGAATAAAGAAAGTACAACACTTCTATGGTTTGATCCAAATACTGGTTCACATGAAGATACAGAACAAACTAAACAAGAACTTCGTTCTATCAATGATTTTGTCATCTTTTACACTGATCTCAAGCTATGTGTGACATTTATTCAATCCATCAAGAAAGAAAAGATCTTCTTAATTACATCAGGATCAAAAGCATCATAATTTCTTCCTCTTATTTCTCATCTACCTCAAGTTGATTCTATCTTCATCTTTTGTATGAACAAAGATAAACATCAACATCTTATCAATGAATATTCTAAAATCATAGGTATTTATGTTTATCTCAATGACTTATGTTCATCCATTCGACAACAAATCGATCTCTTCAATAAACAGCTACAAACATTCAGTATTTTCGATCATCATCAACAATCAACAAAAGATCTCTCAAAACAATCAGCTGAATTTCTGTGGTTTCAACTCTTTCATTATGTCACGACTCGTCTTCCATGACATCAACAAGCAAAAAAACAAATGATTGACGTTTGTCGATATTATTATCGTGGAAATATCAAAGAACAAAGGTTAATTGATGAATTTGAACGAGAATATCGTCCAGAAGATGCTATTCGTTGGTATTCAAAAGATTCATTTCTCTACAGAATGATTAACAAAGCGTTGAGAAGTGAAGATCTTGATCAATTATTTACATTTCGATTTTTCATCGGTGATCTTTCACAAAATCTTGCTCATGAACATCAAAAGATTTTTTCATCAAATAAAACTATCTTAACTGTTTATCGAGGAACGACATTAGATGAAAAAGAATTTGAAAAACTGAAAGAAAATCAAGGAAACATCATTTCAACTAATGGATATTTATCAACTAGTCGACTTCGACAACAAGCTATTAATTTTGCAATGAAATCAACTAAAAGAGCTGATGTTATTAGTGTTCTTTTTCAGATCCAATGTCATATTCAAGACATTGGTAAAAGTGTGATCTATGCTGATATTGCTCAATTTAGTGATTATCCTAATGAAGATGAAGTCCTTTTTGATCTTATTGCAGCATTTCGATTAGATGCCATCGAAAAACAAGGATCAATACAAGTGATCAATATGTCTTTATCAAACGAAGGAGAAAAAATCACCAAAGATTATATCGATTTAACACAAAAAGAAACAGAAGAAAAAAGTGTTGCCATTGTATTTGGACGATTGATGTGTAATCTAGGTCAATATGATCAATCACAGAATTATTTCCAAGAATTATTGAAAGAGCCTAATGGAGAAGATATCGCTTGGATTGAATTCAATATTGGTCAAGCTCTTGATTATAAGGGTCAATGGGAACAAGCTACAATATATTATGATCGAGCATATCAACGAATGACAAGTGCAACACCAGTACGAATTAAAGATTCAGCTCAGGTTATGAAAAATATTGGCGGTATTTTCTATCGACAAGGAAAGTACGATGAAGTTCTCAATTTCCATCAACGAGTACTAAAAATTCGGGAAGAATTCTGTTCATCTGACTATGCTGCAGTTGATCAAAGCCTTAACTACATTGGGCTTCTTCTTGATTCGCAAGGAAGATATGACGAAGCTTTAGATTACCATCAACGAGCACTAAGACTTCGCGAGAAATTCTTTCCATCTGGCCATGTCGATGTCGCTTCAAGCCTCCACAACATTGGTCATACACTCTGTCATCAAAAAAAAGTACCATGAAGCTTTGGAATACTGTCGACGAGCACTGAACATGCGCGAGCAATTCTATCCACCTGGTTATGTCCACATGGCTATGAGTTTGAGCAATATTGGCTCTATTCTCAATCATGAAAGAAAGTATAGTGAAGCTTTGAAGTACTGTCAAGAAGCACTGAATATGCTAGAAAGTGTATCCATCTGGTCATGTCGACAAAGGTCATACCTTGAATACCATTGGAATATGTTATGAAAATCAAAACAAGAGACAGATGGCATTGGACTCTTACCAACGAGCATTGACCTTATTCGACATGTTGCTTCCCGCTAGTCATCCTACTCGAATCATAACTAAGAATAATATCCGTCGTATTACTGGAAAAGACTAAAGTTACACCAGAATCTTTCAAAAACATGATTTCATGAGTGGTTTAAGCATATTTTATAAGAAACTTCAGTGTTCTTGATCATTTGGATTTTCACAGAATTTTTGGGGTGTGGGGTGTGGGTGGGTGCGGGTGTGTATGAAGAACTTCTCTTTTCGGCATCCACACCCATCCACGCCCACACCCACACTCACACCCACATCCACCCATACCCACACCCACCCACACCACCCTCACACATCCACACCCACACCCACAGCACCCACACCCACACCCTTCTAAGAATTTACTCACCACGACGAAATGAATAAAATCCAATAAATCGAGAAAATTTTGTGCGAGATGATATTAGGTTTGGTATTGTGTATGTAACACTATTTGCGTGCTTTTGCTAATGATTATATTTTACCTTTGCAGCAAGACAACTTTATACGTTTCTTATTCTTTATTGAGTTGGTTGGTTTTTTCCTTTTGTTTTTTATTTTTTTTATCTCACACTCTATCGCAAATGTATATACATGTGATGCGCATGAAACGATTTG